TTCTTTCTTTCTTTCTTTCTTTCTTTCTTTCTTTCTTTCTTTCTTTCTTTCTTTCAAGAGCTCAAGCTGGGGAGAGGGGCAGAGAGAAAGAATCTTAAGCAGTCTCCATGCCCAATGCCAGTGCCTGATGCAGGGCTCGATCCCATAACCCTGGGATCATGACCTGAGCTGAAACCACGAGTCGGATGTTCAACCAACTGAGCCACTCAGGCACCCCTCTTTTTCTTTTTAATTTTCATTCTTTTTTAATTTTTGGCAGCCTTGTTGTTTTGTTGAGGTGACTACCCTGCTCAAAGATGCCACCTGCCTTTTTCATGTGTTTGCCAAGTTGTGTAAGCTGATTTTGGAATCAGGCAAATATTCAGAAGTGTAGTTGGGGAAAGGGGACCCTCAGCAGTGATGTTTCTGATATTAGTATCTGTTGCCATTGCATCTGAGAAGCAAATCTCTATTTGAGAAATATGAAATGGTCTTCATCTAAAGGTACCAGCGTAGCCATGAGGAAGTAATGTGATTTTCTGACCTCAAATTCATTTTTCCACAGAAGCATAATTGGGGATGTTCAAAATAATTTCCATAAGTATAGGAAAACAGTCTCGTTTTACCAAAGGACAGGAGTGTTGTTGCTATAGCCCCCCCCTTTTATTACATTATAATATTTCTAAAATTGAGATGTGTCTTATAATTGAGCATATCTACAATAAATTGGCAGCATTTTTTCTCTCTTATTAGTCCTTAATAGTACTTCAGTAGTATTTTAGATTTGATGAAATATGGCACTTTTGGCCAGCTAAGCTTCATTTGTAAGTAAATATTAAATGAATATGTAATTTCGCATTTGAGTAGTGGATTGTTTGGGGTTTGGGAGTTAGCAGCTGCTGAGTTACTCTGCTATAAAGTTCTATAGGCAGGGACCACGATAGTGGATATATTTTATACATATATATAATATGCCATTGGTAAATATCCATTTATTAAATTCATAAGTGCATGCATGAATAAATGAGTAACAAGGAACCCAGTTTGTGAGGTAATTTGGAAGAGGAGTATTTTCATGAACAGAGACTCTGATTATTGGTTGGGAGCATGGGAGTGGTCAAAAAAGGCTATGGTTTGAGTCCCATCTGGGCAGGCGCTCTCTGGCCATAGGTTCATCATGCATCCCACAGCCATTTCATAAATGATGTGGTTGCTCTCTTTGGGGAAGAGGACTCAGCATGTGACTAACTGGATGATACAAATTTATCACCCTTGTGGAAGGCACATCCCTCTCATTACTCAGCCCCTTTCCTCCATAGCTTTTGTTACAGTGCAACTCGTGTAGTTTTGTGTTTCTTTGTTTAATATTTAGCTGTCTTACAGGGTAGGACTCTTCTTGTGGGTAGGACCCGAGCCCATCTTGTTGGCTTCTGAATCCCTAGTACCTGGCAGATAGCTTGGCACAAAGAACACCTCAGAGCAGTGTGGTCTTCTCATTCTGCATTGATAATCATAATGATATAGATAGAGAAGAGTGAAATAGCACTTGCTGTACCCTAGGCATCATTCTACGTGCTCTTTATATTATGAACTCATTTAATTCTCATATTGCCTATGAGGCACATAATATTACTATCCCCATTTTTCTCACAGTGAGGCTGCACCTTTAAAAATGTTTCATAAAAAAAAAAAAAAAAATTTAAGGGGCACCTGGGTGGCGCAGTCGGTTAAGCGTCCGACTTCAGCCAGGTCACGATCTCGCGGTCTGTGAGTTCGAGCCCCGCGTCAGGCTCTGGGCTGATGGCTCAGAGCCTGGAGCCTGTTTCCAATTCTGTGTCTCCCTCTCTCTCTGCCCCTCCCCCGTTCATGCTCTGTCTCTCTCTGTCCCAAAAATAAATAAACGTTGAAAAAATAAATAAATAAATAAAAATGTTTCATAGGGTAAAAAGTTACAAGTGTATGTGTATATACTACATAATATTTGTAGACATGGATTAGTATATTTA